AAGCTGGCGCACTGCTCTCTCAGGGAGATTTCTCTCCCACATCCCTGTCCCTTCTCCTGCCCCCCCCAGCTGTCCCCAGTGCAGATGTGGCACTGGTATCTGCAGCCCTTTCCTCCCTACCCCTCTGCAGAGGGCTTCTTTCTGCAGGGAGGCAGGAGTACCTGCCAGATCTTCCTGCACTTGTCTGGAGATGCACTTTTCAGTACCCACATCTCTATGGAGCAAATGTATAAACCATTCAATTAATTTAATTTGAGGAAGCCTGTAGTTTCATGGTCTAGATGCTTAACCATGGTTTCCACTCCTTAAAGCAAATGTTTACTGTTCTGGCCATGCTTATTTGTCTTTTGGTTTCTTATCTACTCTCTGTGGAGGAACCAGAGTAAAACTTTTTAATTCACTCAGCACAAAAGTATCAGCTGGAGTCTTGCAATCAGGCTGTCAGATACTCGGACTGTATTTCCTTTGCCCATGGTTGCCATTAGGTACAACTCTGGGTCCCAGGGCAGCCCAAGGGAAGGCCTATGGGGACACACAATTCACATTAAGGCAGGACACTCCATGGACATGGTCTGCAGTCCTTTACCAACAGCACTTAATGCAGGCTTGCACACTCTTTTAATACAGTGTACTGCTTCAATGGTTGTTTGTCCTATTAGCTCTTTGATGGGCCATAAGTGGGAATGAATTTAGTCATTTCTTAGTCTGTCAGTGGTGTAAAAGCCAGCTCCTCAGCTGACCATGGACTGAATGAAGATGGCACCATTGCTGGACCTGGTGCTCTACTGTTCTGGTCCTGCTTGTCTCTGCCACCTTTCTTGAAATGGAGGCTGGCCCATTTAGTGCTTCTTTTTCCTTTTCCCTTCAGCTGTTGTTTGCCATACAAATATTTTCACAGCTACTGGCAGTCACAGTTAGGTGGCCCAGGCTATCTGTTTGCCTAATTGAGGGCCCAAGATGGGTATTTTGCTGCTGACCCTACAGAGCTTGGTGCCCATCGATACATCCTCTGGGCAGCACACAAAGCCTGTACCAGCAGGGTGTGCTGGCTGCCAGTGCCACTCCCGGCATCAGCACGATGAAGCAGTAAAGATGCTGTTTGTGAGCCTGAGTGAAGATGATGGAATTGTTGGCAATTCCTTGTTACTGAATCCATAATTGGCTCCAGAATATTTTTGTCCTGCTGGGTGCTAGTGGAAGTACTAGGAGCAATCCCTTTACCTGTTCTAGTAGTGCCCATGAGATAATTCACAACACCAGACTGCAGGCTTTTAATCTCCAAAGGATAATAAAAAGCTCCTGTTTGGATCAGTGTCACTGGTATTTCTAAAAACATAGCAAGCAAAGCAAAAAAAAAACAACAAACACCTCTTCCCCAGTAAATCCCATCACCCATCACAGAACCATTTCACATTGTATCTCCTCTCACTCTTTCCATGTGCCTTGGAAGTGTTGAAGTCAACATGCGTAACAACAGCTTATGCTCAAAATCCTATTCTAAACTCTTCTTTAGGATTCACTGGAGAAAATGTGAGTTCTGTGTGTGTGTGCGCACAGGTGCATGCTCAGCTGAAGAACAAGGCAGCATCTCACTTGTTGACAAGTTTCCTCTTCATCCACAAAGCAGGAGAGTGCTACTACAAGGGAGCACCTAAGGGGCAGAGAGGCTCCATAGCTGCCTTTGGAGATGTGCCTTCATTTTATCCTAAACCAGTAACTCCTTCTGCCCATGCCTCCTGTGCAGCCAGCACTCACTCCCACTGTGGGACATGCTACCAGTGAGGTGACTTTTTATGCTTTAAGAGTCTTTTCTGGTCCAAAAAGAATAGGTAATTCCCAAAGAAGCTATGAGGGAAGAAAGATGGAATTTGTTGATGTTCTTTTTTTTTTTTTTTTTTTTTTTCCAAATAAATTGTTTCCCCTATGGAGAACACCAGAGCAGAAATGACGGCATTGGGTGATGGGGAGCTTACCTGATCCTGGGGCTCCCTCCTCTCTGCAGCGATGCTCCCCAGCTCCTCTCCCAGATCGTGGAGCTGGTGCCAGTTGCTGGGAACCCCCCAGGGCTCTGGCTGTGCCCCAGTGACTCAGGTCAGCTGCCAGGTCCCAGCTTGCTCCCCTTTCTGGGAAACCACTTGGAAAGAGAGCAGCTGCCCATAAATCTTGCTAATGGCTGCAGTGGTGCTGCATGATGGCCTTAAAACTTCTGTGGCCTCAAAGGACCACAGCTGAGGTTTAAAGTTACATGGAAATCTACTTTCCACATCTACACGGTTTTCACCTGTAATTATAACTTCAGGCTTGACAGATAAATCACTTTTTATCACTGGAGCAGAAAACATCTTCTGCTCATTTTGATATATTGTAAGTGCAGGCAAGGTGTGTGTGAGTTACAAAATGCAATTTTGTCTATGAAGCTTTAAACTATAGTAACACCACGGGGTTTTATTTAGCAACACTGAAGTCGCGGCATGATGGAGGTGAGTGTTATCTTTTCCTTCATCAGTGAGTGTGTAGATTATGGGTGTATTTCCTTTTCAACCCTGCCTAATTTTATTTTAGTGATCCAAAAATACCAAACCAAAAGTGCAATTTGATATGATGGCGATATGAAAACAAGTGCAGGGTTGTTCTCTGTGTGGTTACTGACAGCATTTCTCAGTGATTGCTGACAACGCCTGGCAAAGGCTGGACTGAGAGGAGTTTCTCATAATCTTCCTTAGGGTTGTAGGAGGTGGCAGCACACAAACCCTTATGTCCTTCTTCTGACTTTGAAAATGTCTGGAGAGGTTTGGGTCTAAGAAAACAGCTGGAAACAACACCAAAAATCGTGGCTATTTGCTTTTCCCCTCTCCCTTGCATTATTGACCTGGCCTGAGTGACCCCTAGAAGAGGGACTGTGAATTTCCAACACCCCCAGGGTGAGCCCCAGAGGGGCCATGGCACAGCATGGTATGGAGCTGCGGGAGGGCAGGCTGCCTCACCCTGCTCGAACTTTCTGTGCTGGTTCATGGCACTGCAAACAGCAGGCTCTGTTAATTACACATCTAAAGTAGCAGGCTATGTTTTTGCCTTAACATTGGTAGTATTCACCACTTTTCAGTTAAAGACTTGCCTGATGTGGGACACATTTAGTTTAATATGTTCAGTAGAAGAAATGGAGTATTGGCCTTTATAAAAATTCTTTTCGGACACACAGTATACTAGATCTTCAGGGCCAATTAATATTGCAATCCAGTGTTTCACCCTTTGTCTGGATCATAAACCAGATCTAAACAGCAGATTTCTTACAGGGCACCGATTTTGGACTGGCAAGTGGTGCAACCAGAGGCCACAGGCTGCCCAGGGGCCCTGGGCTTTGGCTAGGTGTGGCCACAAGTTTCTACTGCAGTGCCAGGAGCTGTAGCAACATCCGCCGGGGCAGTATTCTGGCATGGAATCACCATTGGCTGTTTGGCAGACAGTAGGAAGGTGTGAAATGACTTATGACTCAGAAAACAGACCAGCTCATCATGCAAACCTACGTAACAGCCACCTGTGTAGGGTGCGTTTCATTTTCCTTGGGGGTCTATATGTAAAATGTTGTTATAATGAAGCAGTAAAAGAACAGAGCATGCTATCTGCAAAATTCTCTAAATATAGTTCAGTAATAATGCTGCTGCTTTCTGCAGATTAAAAATATATGTACCTTTCAAATCTATAACACTGATACAATCAAATACAATCATAAGCAACATTATTCACAGTGACTTGATTGGTGGAAAACAGAGTATGCTAATGAGATCTCTAACAGCATCTCTCTCTGAACACTTCTGTGCATCTGTGTGTCTTTGCTGGACTTGTCAGTCTCAGTAAAAGCAAACCTTCCCTCTTGTTCTCTCAAAATGTGTTGGCTCCAGGAGGATGAGTGTACTTTGGGGTTTCCCCGCTCCAGATCTGCAGCAGTCCGTGCCCATCGCACCCTGGCAGTGCAGGGCTCCCCACTCCTCCTCTTAGAGAAACAATTGCATGGATAATCTCCAGTGTGCAGAACTTAGCTTTCTGTACATGAAACATTAGCACAAGAATACAAAGAAAATTGGAATAGTTTTGAGTTGTTAGTGTGAGTGGCGTGCACTGCTCTGAGCCTTCCCGTCTACAGAGAACTGCAACAAACATGAAGAAGTTCAAGAAGGATTTTCCCACTTAGATCATAGGTCAGGAGACAGCATGAAAGTGTGGTCATGGGTCCAGGTGAGAGGTGGCAGCCAGGCAGCATTTCCATCCCCACTCTGGGTTTGGCATCTTTGTCTGAACTTCCTGCCAGCTTGCAGGGATGGTTGTGAGGGTAAAGCAAGCTAAAGGCTGCAAGTCTGCAGGAGCAGGGCTCACCCATGGCCAAAATAGAAATGATGCCGTGGGGCAAACCACTGCCTGCAGGTCACTCCTGCCCTCCCTTCTCCAGTGCTGCAGGGCTCCACAGCACAGGGAGCTCTGCGCTAAAGCCCGGAGGAGAGGAGCTGCCAGGCACTGCAGCTGCAGCACCCAGCTGGGAAGCAGGCCCCAGGCTTCCGACACAGCCACTGCTCAGAAGAGCCTGTGATTTCCAGGCCAGATCCAACCTGGGCCCTGGGGGCAACCTCCACAGCAGCAGGAGCGTGCCCTTCCTCCAGCCCTGCAGTGCTGGACAACTCTGGAGGCGGGATGCATTGTCACCTTCATACAGCCCTGGTCTCACTTCATGGCTGTCCACATTAATGTCTGGTCTGCTTTTGGAACTGTACTAAGTTACCAGCCTCAGTGACAGCTCTGGGCAGTGAAATAAAAGCACCCATATGTTATATATGGAGCGGTAATTTGTGTCAGAAAAATGGCTGATATTAATAAAGAAGGGGGAGATTTGGGAATGTGGCAATGGGGGTCGGAAAACCTCGTGGTTGGTGATAACATCAGACTCTTAACGATGAGGCCATCAGGAATGTAAAGAGTTTAGAGGAAACAAAGAAGGGGGATTGAGGCGACGCCCTGCTGGCTGGGGTTGCTTGTTTTCCCCTCTGTTAAGGCAGGGAAGTTGCTGGGGGGGTTGCTGGTTAGAACTGTTAACGTTTATTGTTTAATGTTATATGATAATAATATTATTAGTGTGATTTCAAGGGTTAACGAAACTCGGGAAAAGCAATCACGTTTTGTTGCTTTGGGGAACCTTGTGGTGGGCAGAGCATGTGCAGAAGAAGAGGGAGACGCTCGAAGCCGCTCCTGCAGTCTGGAACAAAAGGTTGCTCATGGTGATGGGGAAACCGGGAGCCTTTCATCCACAACGACCACCACAAAGAGAACTATAATATGAAGCGGGGATAGGATATCCATGTGTATAGGCGTACTCGGGTTTCTTGTCCTATATATATTTGGAAAGTTCGATGGGTGTTTGTGCGTGTTGGTAGAGCATAGACTCGCCGCGCACCCAGCACTGTTTACTTGCCTTTTATAAGTATTCTTTTATGTTACTAAATTCAGAGTTGAGACTTCATTTATAACACATACAATTAAAGTTGCAGGTCCTCAAAAAGGAAGAGAATCATTCAAGCTTTCACCACGTTACATTGTGAAAACAAACCTCGCAATGCCAGCTTGCGCTTAGCTGCTCTGCAGAGGAGTAGCAGAGACCTCTCTGATTGCCACAATCCTCTCACACCACCAGGAAAATGCATGCTGGCTGTGAGGTGTCTCACAAGTCGCTTGAAAGTAGAAATGATGGCTACAAATCAGAGGAATCACGTGAATTTCCTTCCATTTTCACAGCCGCAGACAAAGCAATCTGAAGTGAGCGATGACGAAGGTTTGAAAACAGCAGGAAAACCATTTTTGTTGCGGACCCCAACGGCAAGGTAACGCCTAATTACCACTACAAAAACCTTTCTGTGCAAAGATAAGCGGACAGTCGTCAGCACTACTGGAACTAAAAGCCCGCTAAGTCTTTGTAATTGGTTTAATTTGGTTTATTTTACTCTGTCTAGCAGATAAAAGGAGCCGGCCCCGCAGCCCAGCCTGTTCAGAAAGCACTTGTGGTCGCCACGCGCGGACACACACGGTGCCGCTTTTCCCACAACAGCAAGCGTTAAAAAAACTATTTATAAAGGCATTCAAAAATGCGCCGCTGGCCTCGGGGGTGCCGCGGGGAGCCGCCGTGGGGGGAGCAGGGCCTGAGGCAGGGCACGGGTCGGGGGGCAGCACCCGCAGCAACGCGGCTGTGCCCGCCTGGGTGCGGGGCTCGGTGAGGGTGGTCCCGCAGCAGCCCGCAGTGCGTGGCGTGGAGTTCTCAGTTGTCATTTTCCGTGCTGCAGGGGGGTTCCGTACCTCCCTCCAAAAACTGACTCTGAAAATCCTGGGTTTACAGTCTGTGTTTTGGAGATAAAGTCGTATTTGTGCAATTCACTTTGAAACGCCTGTTATGTGGTTCATTCTCCACAGATTCCTGTATCTCGGCTGCTTGGCCTGAGATGTGCATGGGTTTACAGCCTGTCCACTCAGCTCCTTTGTCCTCCTTTTTTAGAATCTTATGTAAATGATAAATACCCTTGGACCAACGTACATGTATGTACCCATAGAACCTCCTTAAAAGCAGACTAATGTTTTGAGGATTTACAGATAACGTTTTAAAATAGTTGTATGTACCCTATACTATCTAACGATGGCATATATGAAATAGTAATTACCAGAGTAACAATGCCACATTCAGCAGTTAGCCCCACAAGCTGCCAACCCCACAGATTTTTAAAGAATTTTCGGTGCCTGGAGATGCAAATAATTTGTGAATGTGAGTTTCAAGCCATCTTGAAACAAGGTTAGGGAAGGCAGACACTCCAGCTCCGCCTTCATGCAGCCCTTGAAACACAAATCCCACACAGGACTCCAGCTCAGCTTAGGTGCACTGCAACAGGGCTGCTGCCTGCAACACACGGCACATAAGACCCCGCAAGATGTTACCACAACAGCAGCAAGAGCTCTGAACAAATTAAGGGACAACTCCATCAACGTGTTCAGTCTGATTTGTCTCAAGCATCCCTACAAAATGCCTTGGGGATTAAAAACCTCTCATCAAGAAGATCAGAAAATCCTTTGCAATCTACATTGTAAATGGCAATGATCAAAACGAGTAATTAAAATGGAAATCTGATACAGTCTCAATCTTCTCCTGGTTTTTTTGTTTTTTTTTTTTTTTTATCTTGTCAATGTGAATTTATGCAAGGCACACAGCTGCCTTGCAAGTCAGTAGGTAGAACTTGAAACAATCCAGATGTCCAGTTTTGAAACATTCTTCTTACTACTTCTACTCAAGTTTTACTTTTTCAGAGGAATACTATAAGAGGTTATCATTTTCTAATATATATTTTTATTAGAAAATATTTTGTTTTGATATTTAGATTTTTGCCAAAGGTGACTTTAAGCCCCATAGGCTTGTAGCTGAGCACTGCATGTGCAGCACTGTGTGTGCATTTTATATGCCCCAAGGAGAATTTGGTGTTGCAGAAATCCAGGGAAGAAAACACTTTTATTTTCATTGTATGTTTGAGATAATATTGGTTCTAATAGTGGATCTGTCACTCTCCCTCTTAAAAGCAAGGACACAGTAAGCTCCTGCAGAAGAGAGAAGTGAGAGAGAACAGAACTGCCTTGCTGAGAGGAGACTTCAATGTTCTTCAGTACTTAGTATTTCATATAGCAGCTCAAGTGACACACCAAGAAGGAATGTACCTGTATGGCAGACTAATGCTGGTGAGCCAAAAGACTGTTGTTTCAGAATTAGAATAGTTCATTTGGAAAGGGCCTACAAAGTTCAAGTCCAACTGCCTGACCACTTCAGGGCTAACCAAAAGTTAAAGCATTTTATCAAGGGCATTATCCAAATGCCTCTTGTTTGGTTTGCCATTTGACAGAAAGTGCCTTAATAAAATAAAAATGAGGCCATTTTTCCACTCCAGCCCCACCACACTCAGGCACAGAGGTGAAGCACACAGTCCCATCCCTGCCCCGTGCAGAAGCAGCGATGTGCAAGCAGAAGGCTCTGCAGGGGGGGAGCTGGTCCATCTGGAGCCAATGGGCTACGCAGGGCTCCCGTGGCCTGCAGCCACCTCATCACCCACCAGCTTCCTCTGGGGTGCTTCAGACCCTTCAACCAATGTAAAGGTTCAAATTCTGTCAGTAACAGTTATCTGGCAGCAAGTTTTCTCCCTCCAAAAAAAATCAGCTCCCCCCAGAATAAGGCAACCTCAGAAGTGCAGATGGAGGTGCTCCAAGCAGAGCTCTCTCCAGGTTTCCAAGGAGCAGCTGCACATCCCCACAGAATGTTTTCTTGTCTGATCGAGAAAACATTTCTGTGATTCCTTCCAGGCTTGAGATTGCACCTTAACAACACTGGTGAAAAATATGGAGCTGAGGGGCCAGGGTGCATTGATGCCCCCTGCAAAACAAAAGGGCTGCAGTGCACATCACCAAACCCAAGAAGCAACCAGAGCTGGTGCCAGCAGCAGTAAGAGCAGCCCTCTTGGCTCTGCTGTCACCCAGGGATTTCCAGAGAGCTCTACCTGCCTGGAGCAGCCGTGGACATGGGTGCAGCCATGGGGCTGCCTGCCCTGTGGAGGTGGGACTTGGGGGGACAGAGAGGAAGTGGGGATAGAAACAGAGAAGTGAGGGCACCAGCCTCAGTTAGAGACCCCCTGCTGTGAAGAGATGGATGGACAGTCTATCTCAGGTCATTCTGGAAATAAAAGTATTTTCTGCTTCCTAAACACAGCACGAACCCTTCTAAAGAGTTTCCTGTGGCTCTAGTGCTGCATTATTCAGGCTGTCAATAAGGCAAAAATAACAGTATGTGCTGTGTAATTTGCAGACAACTTGACCCAGGAAGCGTCCCAACTCTGCCAAGTCCATAGATGCACAATGCAGTTGTTCCTCAGATTTTCTTTTTTTCCTCCCACCCCAGTTTCCTGTCACAGGTTACCAGGCTGCTCCGCCACAGAGCATGTTTGTCTGCATTAAGCATGCAATGTGTTAATGGGCATGTCAGCTTTGCTATCAACTCCACACAATTTCTTGCCATTTCTCCGCACAAATGCTGAGCAGTTAAGGCATTGGTGCAATTGAGGGATGAAGCCTTAATTTCCATGAAAAGGTCTTATGTTGTTCTTTTCCAGACACAGAGGGAAATGCACATTCTGATGTGGACATATTTTGCTCTTTCGCACAGTTATAAATACCAAGTACATGGGGGCAGAGTCGCTCTGCATGCTGCCGATGGCAGGGTGCCATGGCTCTGGGAGCAGCTCCCTGGGGGAGGGATGTGTAGGGGACATGTCCCCATACCCCTGCCTTCCACGGCCCAGCTCCAGCAGGAGCTGCCCTCTCCCTGGTGGCTGTTCACCACTGCTCATGCCCCAGCAAAACTGCTCTTAGAAAATCAGTGTTAAAACCACAGAGGGGTGGTGTATTAACCACAGGGGAGTGTGTTAACCACATGGAGCCACAGCAAGCACAACCTCAAACCTAAATCCTCCTCCAAAAGCAACAGTGGTGGTATGATTTAAAATTGCAACATGCCATATTTACAAAGACCAATGGCAACAGAGATGATCAGCTCCCCATCTAGCTTGCTGTGATAATGATTTTCCCAGATCTCCTGTCTGAGCCTTAGCAGTTGTGCCACTGCCTCATTCTCAAAGTCTCTGTTTTACCTCATCCACTCCTGAGTCAAGAATGATTACTAGGAGTCAACTCTCATACCATTACTTTGAATTGTTGTACAATTACAACATTGGAGCATAATTAGTTCCCCTGATCCTTTTTAGTTGTTGGCAGCTGATCTCAACAAACATGCATTGCTGGCAAATCATCCCTCTGTTTCGTTACGTATGCGTGCACACACTGCAGTGCTGGAGAGCCCCAGCAGTAAGAGGTAGCTGAAGAGGAGCAAGTGTGATGAGATCAGCAGGGGATTTTGGACCCCACAGGCTATAAAAGCAAAGAGAGAAAACTTAAAAGTAATAAAATATTTTGACCACATGTACTCTTACCAGGAAGAGGAGAATACCTCCCACCAAGTACTTGGAGGTGACCCAGCCTTAAGTGGCACTGTGCTAAGAACGGAGGTACCAGCTCCCAAATTCTGCTCAGTATTAGAAAGAAGAAAAAGTTAATATGCTTAAGTAGAGCTGAGAACAAGTAGCTTTGGTTTAACAATATGTTAAATCTGAGAATCGTTTAAAATGTAAGCATTTTAAAAAGAGAAAATGAGCCAGCTGTGCCAGGCATTTAAATGACTTTCAACAGGAGCTGGCTGCCCAGGCGAGTGGGCTGTGCAGGTTCAGCAGGGATGGCCAGTGCAGGGACATGAGGTCCAAAGGGATGGGGGGTCCTCAGCGGGTGCCTGGGGAGCACCAAACCCCACAGGCTGGGCCATCCCCACCAGCAGGCACCCAGCTGTGGTGGGAACAGGCAGGCACAGCTGGCTGCGGGCAGTGCCCACACTGTCACACAGCAGGACACAGGCTCAAGTTAAACGCCACCAGGTACCCAAGCATGAGCAGAGTGCCTTGGCCAAGAGGATATACAGGCACAGCTTGGGTCCTGTGCTCTTCCAGCAAGGACAAAACTAGCAGGAGGTATATGAGGCACAACAAATCCCTGCTTGGGTGACTCTTTCCCTCCTGGCACCTTCATGTGGGAGAACAGTTGGGACAGGCAGTGTAATGCTGCCACCTGGTTGGACTGACAGATTCCTGTCTAGCTGTCTGGTGCCAGAGAAACAAACCTCTCCCTTTGCAGGTGAATAACAGCTCGCTCTGATATTACCGTAGACAAATACTCTTGCAAAAATAATTTAAAATAAATAAATAAATAAATAAAATTAATGAATTCAATTATTTGATGAGATGTACTAGCATGCAGTGATGAGTAATAGCCCCTAGAAATAATACACTGCTCTAAGCAGCTAAGCAAAGGAAACACATGCTTGGGTATGATGGTACAAAGTTCATAAAGAGAGACCCCTTTTTCACAAAGTGCCCCAAGATAGATTCACCCTTGGTTACACCAGGTTTTTTTTCACTGAATTGATACAGATGGGAACCCAAAAAGCCTCTTATCTTCTAATTGCTTAATATGCTGTTTGTGAGGTTTGTATGTGCTATTTACATCTCCAAACAAATTACAGAGTGATTTCCCAAGATAGCTAATATCTAGTTCATTATAATTTAATGCTCAGTCACAAGGTCCCTTGAAGCATGAAACAAGAACAGTTCATCTGCTCATGGCAACACTGTACCTTTCACACCATGTGCAAGGCCAGAGGTCTCCCCAGCCATGCCCATCACACCATTTCCAGGATCAGGCAGCCCACCCTGTCATACTGAGCTGCAGAAACCCATACCTGGAAGAGCTGACAGCCTCTGCAAAGCGCCCACGCCTACAGGTCAGGGTGGACATGGGTGGGCCTGAACCTGCAGCAGAAATGGAGATCCATCCCCATGCATTTATAGCACAGCATACAGCCCAAAGACTGCCCTTAGGCAAACAGCAGTAGCACAAGCCAGGGAATCATTTAGTTACTGAGCTCCTGTTGCAGGGATCAAAGTCATCTTCCCATGGAAAAACTGGAAAAACTCTTGGTAGCTGAAGCCCACGACACACACCCTTGTGCTGTTTGCAAGGTGCACGTGGCGGCCTGGCTCTGGTCTTTTGGTGCCAGCTCCCCAGGAGAGGTGTGCACACCCTGTGCATGCAGCACCTTGCTGCAGGAGCCAGTCCTGCTCGCCCTCCTCCATCTCAAGACAGCTGTGGGCTGATGGGAGTAGCAGCAGACGTGTTCACTGCTCTATTAGCACGGGCACGACTGCGAGGCCAAGTGCTGCAAGGCAGGAGTGGGGCTGAGCTGCATTTCTAGGAAACGCTTTTCTGTCTGACTCATTTCCCGAAAAACTCCTGCTTGCTTTTGTAGATAAATACTAGATTGACTGAAAAATCAGTTTTCCTGGTGTAAATTATAACAAGTATCAAATAGATATGAACTGCATAATACATACATTTTGTATATATTTTAATTAAATACATTATTTTCAACTAAAATATATATTTACATATATTTGTAGCGAGCATGGGATGCTCATCCTCACCTGGTCTGGGTGGGACGGATGGGCAGAGCTGTGCCTCAGAGGCTGAGAAAGAGGATGTGAAACAAACACCTGGGAGGAGAAAATGCGAGCAGAAGTAGCAATGGTGAAAAATTATATGCCAGCCTGCCAGAAGCAATGGTAAAATTTGCATTTTCTTGGACATCACCCTAAGTTTTTTCCTAGTACAGCATGCAGCAGCTGTGAGTGCTGTGACAGGAAACATCAGCCTCCAGAACCTGGCATGGGGTTTTCTGCCTGCAAGTCTCACAACAAGGAGAACCGAGCTGCACCCAGAAGCAAGGCTTTGCCCTCCCGATGAGCACTGCCTGTGCCCATGCTTGTGCCCGTGCCTGGCAGTCCCCACGGACAGAGGCCGTGCCGGCAGCGTGCGGGTGCTGTGCCTGCCCCGCAGCAGGCACTGCCCAGGGAAGGCAGGAGCCAGCAGCGCCCCGCATGCAGCAAGAGGCAGAGCAGATGTGACCTGCTGCTCCTTTCCTGGGAGATCGCTAGCACGAGCAGGCAAGATGAATGCGCATCAGCCAACAACTTTGTTAGGCTGTGATGGGACAACTTTCTTACAGTAAGGCGTGGATAGGAGAATGGCTGTGATTGCAGACTGCTTCTGAAATTTGTCACAGTGCCCTAATACCTCACAAAAGGGGGAAGGCAGACCTTGCTGCACAAGAAACAGTAACAGGTACAGACTGGGAACAGTACTTCAGGAGTACAGCACGTGCTGTCCATCTCTCCCTCAAAAACATAAAACAAGGTAATTTCTAGTATCGCTGATTGTCTCCTGTTTCAGGGCACCACTGCCTAGGTCCCTCATGCACAGTTACGGTCCCACTCACTGCTTTGCCACCACAGTGACAACACTGCACAGAGCACCAGTATCACAAGTGAAAACAAGACTTCATGATTAATTTTGCACAGGGGAAGCACAGTTTGCCTGTCTGCAATGATGTCTCCCTGCACGTATGAGTAGTACTTTGATGCACATTTGAGCAAGGATGTTGTCCTTTCTTCAGCTCAATGAGAGAGAAAATGTTTGTCCACATGGCTCCAAAAGGGAGACACCACTCAAGAACCCAGACACATTTTGCTGTTTAGGGAGGGTACAGCATAAACTCAAATCATCCCTTGTGCTTTACCCTAAACCATATATATTTCATAAAGTGAGCATTATGTTAGCCCAACTGCTTACTTGACTCAGGTTATGAGGTATGGAGGGAGGCTTCCATGACCAAGGCAGTAACCTTTGTGTGTTTTTCAGGAAAAACAAGCTTCCATGTGCAAGACCTGGGCACAGAGCTCCTGAGCCAGAGCCAAGGATTCCAGCAGTGCACCTCGGAGCATGCTCCTGCAATCTGCTTTCTGCTGACAATGAGCAGCTCCATGCTTAACATTTCTCGTGGCAGAGCTCTGTCCCTAAGTCAATCACCAATGTCCAGTCCTCAGGTGGGGGGTAGCTTGGTTTGTCCATCCTCGAACCTCAGCTTGAGCCCAGGCTGCGTACAAACTGAGATGCCAACATGTCCAAGGTGAGTTCCCAGACTCCACTGGTTTTTGTGTGATTTCTTTTTACCCACTTTTCAGTGGTATTTAACCAATTCTGTTTGCCCAACGTTTTGATGCCAGTTGCAGATCAGAAGCATCATTTTTACTCTCTGTCAGTAGGGATCTTGCGTGGTTATATAGGTCAGGATCGGTCCTTTTCACCCACATTTCTGTTGTATTTTTGTCTTACAAAATTTAGTATTTCTCCTAACTTTTTTTGAAATATTCAATTTTACCCCTTTTTTCCTTACCTTAGCTATACTCTTCTGTTGTCTTCTCTCCATTATCTGTCTGATGTGAGAAACGAGGCATTGGACAATGGTTTATACGTGATCCAGAATTTCCTTAAGCCTTTGAACTCTTTGCACAGATACCCTTCTGGGTTTGTCAGACAGATACTTCCATTACACAACTTAAATGTTCAAGAATAATAGTCTGTATCTTTTCAAATATCAAAACTTACTCCCACTGGAAATCAATCATCAGACAGACAACAAGAGACATGTAGGATAGCAGAGAATTGCCTGCCAACTTTCTTTTTCTATAAAAGCTCATGAAAGCCGGCAAAATATAAATGACTTGTCAAAGGCAGCTTAAAGAGAGAAACTGAGAATATAATTATGGCCACAAAGAATTTGCACAGATAGTTGCAGTAAGGGCGTGTACAGAGAAAGACGTGTGAGAAGCACAGGTTACGTGTCCAGGAGCAGAAGGCTGTGAGCCATGCTCTGAGCAGATGATCCAGGAGGCCACAGCCGGCACAAACTATGGGACAACAAACCTGGCAGCACCATGGTAAGGGTAATGTCAGCTTCAGGTCAGAGAGCAGTGATGCTTTCCCGACCCCTATCCTCCTTGGTTGTATACATCTGTAGAAAATAGGGACGTAAGAATATTACAGGATTTGCAGTTGTTACTATACAAGAACGTTGCATTTGAAGACGAAATATGGCAGCTACCGAAATGGATGAAAGTCATTCTTAGTCGTTTGATTAAAACTTTTAAATGAACATGCAAATAAGCAACGGCAAATACAATTTATTTTATGAGAAGAAGGAAATCTGAGATGTGACAAAGGTGAATAGATGTCCCATAATTTTCAGTGTGTGCTGACCATAGCAGCACCACGCCTTGCTGGGACTGGGCTCCATTCACCATCACGAGCCCTTCGGGGAAGCAGCCCAGATGCCCTGTGCTCCTGTGCCACTGTGCCCTCGACCCCGCTGGCAGAGCAACTTGTAGGTGCTGAGCTCAACTTCCCACCTCGCTGCTGAGCCCAGGGTGCCAGGGCACAGACTGGAAGAGGGGCATGGGGCCACAGAACTAGGAAGCCCCCCGGGATGGCAGCCTCAGCCTCAGCTTCTGCCACCTGAGCACCCATGACTCTCTCCCACCCCTTGTCTTCTCCAGCACTCCCTGTGTCCCACAGTAATAAAATCTGCTGAGAATCGAAGCTCTGCTTTGCTCCTTCCCTATCCCCATATTATGTCCACAGTACTAATACTTAGTGTTTGTCACTAAACATCTTTTTATTTATGCACAAAAAAAAAAAAAAATAAAATAAATAAAAAAAAATTGCTTTATAATTATAATTAACCTTTAGGCAAGCTTTTTTTTAAAAAAAAAAAAAAGTCTGCATTTTCTTCCCATGTTATCTTTATAAAGTGTTTAACTACTTACTATCCTTCCTGTTACTTGTATGAATCAACAGGTTAAGGTCTTTAACTTTGCATCACGTACAGATATCATCCTCAGAACAAGTCGCTACAGAAAACCACAGCATTAATTTTTCATAAAAATATTCCTACATTTGTGGTATTTTTGATTTTGCCAGTGCTAAGTTCTCTCTTGGAAAGGTTAATGCATTTTGTTCTGTATTGCTACAGCTTTTCCTATCTCTTCTGATAGCTTCCTCTTGCATGAAGAACCCAGATCATTTTCTTTGGTTCTCTAACCATAAATACTTGGAAATATCAGCTTACCTTGGGGGAAGGCAGCCTGGGAGCTAGGGAACAGCTTTTAACTATTTGGGGCTGAATTATCCAGAAGTTTGTTCTCCCGGCACAGACGTCCCGAACAGTAATAACTCATGGAAGATAAGGCTGAAGGACCTTGTCAGTTCAGGCTTGGACTATTACATTTTTCTGAAGGAGAGAGAGAGGTATCACTAGAAAGGCACAAAAAAAGCTCCAGGCATACCTGCCTCTCCCTGAGCTGGGGAGGCTCTGTGGCACTCCTAGTGTCAACATCATGGTGGTGATTATCTGAGCTCCTGCTCAGAAAAGCCACCTAATTTCTGAATCCCCAGGCTTTAGCTGTTGTAACTGTGGCCTCCAATTAGCACTTGTGAGTAATCTCTGCCTAGTGCTCCAGGAGGGTTCAGGCAGAGCTGCCCACCAATGACAATATCCATGACTCCTCCTAGAGAACAGCCTGGCACCCGACTGCTTGGGCTCTCTTTCTAATCTGTGTGTGTCATCATCACTCTGTTTATGCCAGCTTTGGTGAAATGGTTTACGTGTTTTAAATTAGAGTCCTATCATCTTTCACTGTGGTGAGACTTTGGCTCAGGTGGAAACAAGGCAACTCCTGCAGGTGATGCAACCAAAAGCAATGAGAACTGGTAAAATGGAAAGGTCTTAGTGTGGAACAGGTGTTCCAAAGTAATCCCCTCTTCTCTGCTCACTAACTTACTGATGTCATGCCCATATGTCCCAGGGCAAGTCTCTCAAGCAGCTGCTAGCTCTGGTGTGTTTGGCAGCTCCATTGCCTAGTAGAGCACTGAGGCTTTACTGGCCTCTTATAATTGCAAAATTAAGAGGACAAGCTTACCTTCTCTTCCTTCCCCACAGGTCTCTTCCACAGCCATTTTGTTGTGGGCTGTGGTGCAACAAGCCAGAGCTGGACTTGTCTTCTGTTTAGGTACCGAAGTCATATCTGTATGAGACCACAAAACTCAGTGGTATTTGGAAATACTTGAGAAAAGTGATGCCAGAGAAAACAAGTGCAGTCAGGACCAGCTTCGCTCTTTGCCCAGGTGGTCTATGGCTGCAATTGCTCATGTTAGTATGAAGCTTCAAATAGTGTCCAGCAGACCTGGCCCCATGGCTGTGGCATTTCAGGGGTTTTAATTTTTTGGTTTTGTTTGTTTACTTGCTTTTTTTGTGTGTGTGTGTTTTGTTTGTTTGTTGTTTTTTAATTGAGACTCCATGCACTTCACTTCAATTTTCCTTTCCATATGTTGACTTCTGCCTGGAAAAAAAAAAAAAAAAAAGTGGTTTTTTTTTTGCAGCTGACAGGGACACCCATCACATACCCAGTGCACAGCTTCTCTATTGAGCTAAGAGGAATAACACTGGGCAATCTGCTATCCCATTTTGTCTTCAGTGAATGACCTGCCCTGAGCTCTGCATATTTTTTATTCATTTCAAACTCTTCAATGACTATAGAAAGTACCAAATGAATATTAGATGGCTATGACCTCTGCTAAAGCAATTCTCCTGTGTACAAATTGCTTTTTGTCAAGTGACAATGGTATGCTTGCTCCTAGACTCATAGCCTAAGCCACAAGATTACTGCCTAATTGGGAAAAATAACCAGACAGGAGTTAAATAATTGGGATGAGGAAGGTATTCCATTAATTGATCACATATGCCAAGTGATTCAGCTTCAAAATTTGTCATTGTCACTTTTCCAACACAAATTTAGAAAGAATGGTGCTTCATTAAGTCTGTGAGGTTCTTCCAGAGTGAGCAGTGACTGACCACTCACAATAAGTTAATTAAAACCATTTCACACTAGAAAGAACAAATGTTGGTGGAGATTAATTGATTTCCTGTTGCTATATGCTCAGGTCTGAATGATGTACTAGAGACACTTTAGCTACACCCACTTCATCTAAGTCAAATACAACCTTCATCGTGCAATTAATTTCACTTTTCCATTAGTAACTACTATTAGAACGAAGTTAAACACCATAGCTGCCCCAGCTTTTCCTTATTTTGCCCTGCAGTTTCTAGCTAATAGTTTAGTTTATACCAATCCACACCCTTAAAAAAAAGGACTGGTGGCTAGTACTGATGACTTAGGCACATTTCTCTGTCTCTTCACCTCTGCCAATTACATTTAATATGTTCTCTATCTAAGCATACTTTCTCATACTTTCTCATTATTGGCACCTCCTAGATGATGTCTGATATCAAGAGACGTGTGAAATGTGCGAAATGAAGGAGAAGCACCCAAGAAGCCCCTTTTCCTCTCTTGCCTTTAAGCCAGCTTGGTAAATTACAGCATGGTTCAGCCATCTGCTTCAAAAGTGGTGTTACGCATTAAACCTAAACCCCTCTAATCAGCTATGTTAACCCTGCCTGAGTCTTCATGATCTTCTTTCCTTCCCTGACAGAAGGAATTTTCCCAGCTGTGCAGGATCAATTCCTCACTCTGCTTAGTTCTCACACTGGTGATAACACTGAGCAGCATGTGACGTCTGCATCACTAGTAGATCACATTTATGTTTCTTATCCTCAAATTGAGCTAATAACCATGATGAGCATAAACATCAGATAGTCTCTGTCCTGTGTGGAAACCCTTCCCTACTCCACCTCTACAAAATCTTGTAGCTTAACACTCTGTAAAATAAATTGTAGCGAGGTCAAATCTTGTATGAACGAGTGGCTAGGCTATCCTACTCCAACTGCTGTGCCTTCAGCAAAATTGCAGCTGCATTCAAGAGGGGAGCACTCTTGCAGTACCTCTCTATTCTCTGCTACTCACAGTTTGCATCGTTTTTGTCTGCTCTAGTCTGTACCTGTATTTTGCACTCTTGGTCTAACCTCCTGGTAGTGCACAGTCCTGGGGGCTGTTCTGCTCATGTTTTCATGGGAAGAGAGGAACAAAGTTCTTTGATTTCAGGGTGCCAGCCTTTGGGGAGCAGGCAAAAGAGTGAGAGCTTGAGCAGCACTCATCTGTTGCACTCATCATTGCACTCAGCTGGGTGCTGGTCTAGAAAAGGGCTCAGACACAGCAGGCTGGTGTGTCTCCAGTTCCCCTTTCACAGGACACTGTCTTAGGCTCCTTTACCCTCTAGTCTCTTGTCCACAAGAAGTTTGAATTGTATGGCTGGGACAAATCTGTTATCTTAAAGGTTATCAGGGACCCTTCAGTCATCGGCTCTGTTCTTAACTCTGAATTACATCATTCAAACAAGGAAAAATCCGGTAACTTGCTGAGTAGATTGCCCCTTGTAAATGTTTTCTGTAAGCCCTGATATCTAAAGGCCAATTTGGAGAGGAGACAGCACAGTCTGCTTTTTTTGCTGAAAACTCTATTTTTCTCTCTCTCTCTTTTTTTTTTTTTTTTAATGTGCAGAATTGTAAATATTATAATTGCATTAAATTTCTTCTTTAATGAACAAACAGCTGTATAATTATAGGAGCATGTTCACACCTCTGTTGTAATGGTTGTTTAAGCATTTTAATTATACACTTTGTTTCCAAGGGTTGGACTCCTCTCTGGGAGAGCAATTTTCAGTGCAAAACAGTTCACCAGCCTTTAGCCCAGAAGTGTGCATTTTTGCTCTAATTTACCTAGGAACATTGTGAAAGTTTGGGTGTGTGCCCAAAGCTGTGATGTGCCTTTCTCATTTGATTACCCTGTCTGTAGCTCCATGGATCCCAGCAGTCTCTGCAGGTGACCAAAGGCAATTACCAGACTTCCAGAGAAGCTCTGGGGTTGTAAGTTCCCTGCCTTTCCTTGGTGAACCATGTTATTTGTTTTTATCATCACCGAAGGTAAAAGCACCCCAGATGTTTGGCTTACCAGTGCTCCTGTCTGTGTGAACCAGCCTGTATTTCTCATTCACACACAGATCAGCTTCCTTGCTGACACCAACTAACAGGGCAGATGGCTCCCTTACCTTGCTTTGCTCCTGCTGCTTTTCCAGTAATGACCATTGCATGTAACATAGCTAGGGGGTCTGTTACATCTTCAGTACTGTAGTGTTTTAGAAATTTTGCTTTGTTAGGAACATTCCTTGGATGCACACCCTTTCATGCCAAGGGCCTAAAATAGTTTAGTTTTCTCTTAAGGCTTCTTTAAACACTACACATTGTATCTTCAGACATGGCATTAGCTTAATTAATGGGTGTAAGAAGAGAAAGATTTAGCAAGTGCCCCGTACCACCACAACACATATCGCTCAGCAGTACTGACTTTCCTGGCACCACTCGTGAAGCTGGAAGGGGCCAGTACCCTGATAGGACCCCACATTAGTGGAAACTGTGCTGTTGCTCCATAGAGGTGCACATATAGAGAAACAAAAACATGGGAGAAAAGGCAATGAAGCTTTCCTTCTGTTGCTTAATAGCGTTAAATAAATAAATAAATAGATAGATAGATAAATAGATAAATATAAAATCACCACATTTCAAAATGAAATAAGAATTATGCCATATGGCTCAGCAAGGAAGTTATTCACAACAGCTGGTTTAAGAGTGAAAATTTTAGTGATTGTCCACAAGCAGCAGCAATTGAGAGCTTCAGAAATTATTTGCATATCTGGTAAAAATATATACATATTGATATCATCCCTCCATTCTACTGAAGACGTCAGACATACACTTGGGAAATTCCTCGTTCTCCGAATCTGATGTGAGTCACCAGACTGTAGTAAACTGAAGCTTTTGCAGGAGAAATTTCTTGCTGCCAGGTCTGGTTATTGTCAAGTCCACCCAAAAGTTCCACTGGGATTTCTCCCCTACTTCATCCAAAAAGCAGGAATCCCCAATTTTCTCAGTTCTTGCCTGAAGCACCTGGAACAGTTTAACAGAGATGGGTTTTGCCCAGTGCAAAGGGCTCTTGAAGGCGTGAGGAGCAGATGGAGGCTGAAACTGGAAGGGATGAGGGAAATGGCCTCCAGTCTCCTGTTAGAGTATTGGATTAAACCGCTAAACACTTCTGAGAGTCAGTAAATGCTTAAATAAGCAAATGATAGGAGGCTCCTGCTAATCCTTTTTCTTCTTAGCAGAACAATTTTTCCTCTGACTCAGGAAACTGACATATGAGCTTGATTTTTCCCTTGTAACTGCTGGTTTCATCAGATTCATTTTGGAATAACACGTTTAATTGCAATCAGACATAGAAGGCATCAACAATGTTCCAAACAATGAATGGTACATGTCTTTCTTATTTATACTTAAATAAAATAATAATATTAATAAAAGCTTAATCTATTAATTTGGCTTTTAGTTTCATGATCAGTGTAACTGAAGGTGTGTAGCAGACGGAGCTCAGATTCACCTGAGAGGAATTTTTTTTGGTTGCTTTTTTTTATTTATTTTTTTTTAGAGATTTCAGTGTGACCTGTTTCAGTTGTGTGGCTGATGTGAGTTAGCACCAAAGTATTTAAGCCCTTTTTAGCATAGGTGTGAAAGTTATAAGAGATCAAAGCATGCAGATAAAACAGAATGGAGACTTTAGGGCAAACAGGAAGCAATGTGCTCTGGTAGCCAACTGCAAGATGAAAATTCACTACATTAGCTTGATCTAGACACATGCAGACATCTGTACA